AGCAGTAACTCAGTAGTAGTAGTAGTAGTAGTAGTAGTAGTAGTTGTAGTTGTAGTTGTAGTTGTAATAGTAGTAGTAGTAGTAGTAGTAGTAGTAGTAGTAGTAGTACTAGTAGTAGTAGTAGTTGTAGTTGTAGTTGTAGTTGTAGTTGTAGTTGTAGTTGTAGTTGTAGTAGTAGTAGTAGTAGTAGTAGTAGTAGTAGTAGTAATAGTTTTGGTGTTTTTGATAGTAATCTCAACATGGATTCTGCTTTTCGCGGGACTTCGTACCAGGAATGTCCTCAACAGGTTCCGTTCAGAGTTTAATATAGGGGCCTAAATAATTACCTATGCTATTTTGGGGGCGTCTTACTATAGTTATAGTATAATGTACCCTAACACCCTATTCTGATTACTAAGGCCCCTACATTGGGGTTGTACTTGAGAAACCTAAACTAGTCCATGGATTACTTCATGTGGGGTCATGTCAAAGACAGCTTCATCAGGGCACGTATAAACTCTGTCAGGAATCCACACACATTCCCTGATCCTCTACCCAGACCCCCAAAAGGATCTAAAACATAGATCCCCCTAAGGGGGTTCCTATAAAGTACCCTTCAGTAGTCAGGGTCCCTAATTAGGGGATCTATTTTTTAGATCCTTTTGGGGGTCTGGGTAAGTATAGGGCCTAGGCTTTCTCGTTTTTACATTGCCGTGAGCCATTACGAAGGAGCAGACGTTGAGGGTTTAGGGTTTCAGGTCACGCAGACGGCAGCCATTGCAGCCTGCGAAGGAGGCACTCGTTGGCGCTTTGCCATGCAGCTGCTGCCGAGCTGCATGTAAAGATAGGGCTCGGATGAATACAACCTGCCTCGATTAATGCGGATTACAACTTGTCGGGATCCTAATGTTAAGGAGCTGCAGTTTATCAATCAGGGGGTTTACATTTTATACATATATATATATATAGCAGGGCCTGACAAACGAAAGCAATCCCTGAGAGATAGAATAAAGGCATCCTTCTAGTCCTCGCGGCGACACTAACGAAGGCTCATTCAGAATCCCTGGTTTACGGTCTAGCGTTTCAAAAATTAGGATCCAGATAAACAGCCTAATGCAGACCCACGATTCCGCAATCAGGTGTCGATGTTAGCCACATCTTCTGTACTACCAACCTAAAGAACATCTGTGTTTTACCACACTGTTGGGACAATAGAAACTCCCAGCCCGGTCTACTACTCTCTCCAGGCCTCTACATATTAATAAGATGAGCTCCCTTTGGAAGTTGATTCTTGTTGCCATGTTTTGGGGGGCATAACTTGCGAGCTAGCTTATGTTCCTCACGGCTTAAGGATTTAGGTTTTGGGTTACGGGACCAGTCCCACATCCGAGATGGGGTTCCACAGGAGGAAGGGGTAGATTGACTTTGATAGCTATGCCTTATGGCTCTCTTTCACCCTACACCCTAAACCCCTCAACCCAAACCCCCAAACCCCTAGCCATAGAACCTAGACCCTCAAAAGCTCAAGCCCTCAACCCATAAACCCCCGAAGCTCACAACCATCAACACAAACCCGACCCCTCCTGACCCCGCAACAGTAAGGTAATATACGGGCTTCAACAATTTCCTATACAATTTTGGAGGTTCCTTATCATAAACATAGTATTATGGGCCCCAAAACCCTATTCTAATTATTAAGGGCCCTATATTTGACCCCTAACCCCAAACCCTAAACCCTGAACCCAAAACCCCTAAAACCCCTAAAACCGCTAAACCCCCAACCCCTAAACCCCCAAACCCCTCAGCAGTAAGGTACGCCACTTCGGGGAGCTCCAAGGATGCTGTCTGCTGCAGCGCAGCGCTGGGGGTCTGTCGCCGAACGCGTCGGTGGCAATGCGCCTTCGAGGGAAGGTGAGAACCCACCAGCTTTAAGGAGTTTAGTATAGGGGCCTAAGTAATTTCCTATATCNNTACTATTAAGGGGTGGGGGGGGGGGGGCCTTATTGTAGTTATAGTGTAATATACCCCAACACCCTATTCTAGTTATCAAGGCCCCTACATTAGGGTCTAGTGTTCCTTGGGGTTTAGGGTTTAGGGTTTGGGATCAGGAAGTCATAGTAAGGAGCCCTTAAATTTAGGTCTTTCGGGGTCCGATCAGTTTTGAAACCATAATTCCTAAAGCTTTTCCCCCCAAGCCGCTGAAAATCCTGTAAGCCTGAAGCCCAAGCTGACGAACCCAACACTTCCAAAGCCCCCAAGAAATGGTATACTGCAACACTGCAATACGTAGTCCGAAACCCTTTGCCAACGATTCAGGCCCCCCGTACCCCAACCCCAATGACATCCCTATCAAGACCTTTCCTGCAGCCACTCGTACAAATCCGGCTCACTTTCTGTTGTCGATTGGAGGGGGTTGCTTTCGCGCGTTTGGTTCACAGGTTTTGTAGGGTTTCCATGGGAACTCATAAGGGAACCTTAAACCATAAGCCTAAGCCCTAATTATATCCCTAAGTCCGGAACCCAGCAACTAGGGCAAGCAGTTCTGGAGTTTGGTTGGGCCTGCCTTGTGTTTGGGTTTTTTAGAGCAACCGGCGTGATTAACAATCCCTGCAAGCATGTCCACACTTCATGAGTCCACACCAAAATCCATGGTATTCTCTGAAGCCATGCTCCACATCCCCGAGTTGTAGCCCCAAACGAGCCAAGCCCCCAACATGCGCAATTCAACACCATCTGAAGCCCTACGATCCGGTATTATGGGCCATCAGCACTGGATCCCAAACCCCTGAACCACCATTCCCAACCCCCGAAACCTCTCAACCGTAAACTCTAGATCCTGCTCCCATACTTGGAGGATCATGGGACTCAGTAAGTAGGATTTAGGGTTTAGGGTTTAAATTAAAGTAACTATACTTCTAACCCCAATTAGGGGACTTATAACCTTACTTACTAAGTCCCATGATCCTCCAAGTAAAGCCTGTACATCCTGAAACCCCAGGCCCTACAACCCCTCGTCCCCTCCGTGGTATGCCTCGACGGAACCCTTAACGTAGGGGCCTTAATAATTAGAACGGGGTTTTGGGGTATAGTATACTATATGTATATATGATAAGGAAGCCCCCCCAAATAGTATAGGTAATTATTTTGGCTTCAATTATTAAGGGAACCCATAATCCTGGAAGCCGTGGCCACTCACGTAGGTGCTGAGGAGCTGTTTGCACTGCTGCCCTTAGTCAGGGTGCGGGCGGAGCCTTTGAAAGAAATGGGCAGAGCCTTTTTGGCTTTGGGTTTCGGGTTTGCGGATTTTGGGGTTTGGGAGTTTAGGGCTTAGGGGTTGAAGGTTTAGGGGTCGCCAGGCGGAAGTGGTATGCTCAAGACTGGACGAGGCACAGCAGTAAATGGCAGTTCTTCACAGGATCTACCGAAGGGGTCGACACAACTCACGCGCTCTCTCACTCACTTGTGCCTTCGATGCTGCGATTGTCAAGCTTGTCTGTACATGAGCTGCCAAGTAACACTTGCAGGGGTTTAGGGTTACAGCTTGGTTTACATGTGGGTTCATGGGTTGCTATAAATAGAGCCGTAAGCACCTTGCCTGAGTCGGTCTGCACTTTGCCTTCATGTCTTTGTAGTATCTATACCCTGTTCTTACATGAAGCTAAACAACACCCGCCTTAAATGCCCAATTCCGAACCCCCCAAACCCCAAACCCCACAAGCCTAAACATACAATCCGAAAACCCTAAAACATTCAATTGCAATAAAGCTACAGCCCTCAAATCCAGCCCTCCGAAGCCTAAACCCAAAACACATACCCCAAACTCTATAGGCCCTGATTCTCTGCAAGCCTTGAGTGGACCAACCTTCACGAACCTGATACAATATACCAAAGCCCCAAGCTCGGTAAAGAAGTAGTTGTAGTAGTAACAGCAACAGGAGTAGCATTAGTCGTCGTCGCTTAGCAGCCCTCAAACCCCAAGCCAAAGGAGACGCTATGGAGACCAAAAAAAGCCTTGAAACAAAGGACCTGGCCTGCTTCAATGCAGCTTTGGCTGCCTTGGGGACAGCCTCCTGGTCAAGATCGCTGGCAAAGGCGCCCAGAGAGTGGAACTTAATAGAGGGGCCTAAATAATTGCCTATACCATTTTGGTGGTTCCTTATTATGATTATAGTATAATATACCCCAAAAGCCTATTCCAATTATTAAGGCCCCTACATCAGCGCTGGGATAAGGCTAAGTGGCTGTGGAGGCTCCAAGGGCTGGTACCCCTCAGCAATAACCCTAAGGCCCTAAGGGTCCATGTACCCAAATAGTACACAATTTGGCCTTGAAGTAGTCCCTAAAATGGTACTTTGGGGCCAGAGTATATAGTATCTGGGCACATGGACCCTTAGGGTAACAATTGCTTACTGAAGATAAACGCCCAAGGAGTGTCCTGAATTGGTTGACGATTGTAGGAGTTTCTGCGTACCGGGATCAGGATGTTCTCGAGGTTGGAGGGCTTTAGGGAGCAAGGGATTCAGCATAGCGATTTAGGATATCCTATCATGAGACCGCATGCAAGCAATGGGGAGACATTCTCGTTATCAAGATGATTAGTAAAATTCTTTGGACTAGCCTTGTCATGATTACTAACTACTGTCACTTAGCTGCGTGGGTTGCATGTCTACACATTGCGTTTGCTTCCTGACACTTGATCTAAGACCATAAATACATCTAAAACTTAGGATCGTAAACCCTCAACCCCCTTAATCGCTCATCTCCACATGCAGGTCCACCAAGGCCCTCACTAGTAAGTGCAGTTCCGTTGTGTTGGTTGGCCTTATTTCCGCGCTATGTGTTCCTCACGTCCAAAAGGCACCACACACCGGAGCCTAAGTAAAATAGAGGTCCGGATAGTCAGCTATACCGTTCCCACTATAGTCCCTCTATACTGAACACCCTAAACCTTAAACCCTAAACCCTAAAATATATGTCAAGACCCTAAACCCCTAAACCCTTAAACCCTAAACCCTAAACCCTAAAATATATGTCAAGACAGCGTTCCTGAATTCAGGCCTTTCCAGGGGGCCCTCAAGTTCAGGGTTTAAGGTCCAGGGAGGTTCGTCATCTCTTTGGGCTTTAGGAGGGACCCTTAGTAGGAACCCTTGTAGGTTATTGGGGTTAGGTTAGGGTTTAGGGTTTAGGGTTTAGGGGTTATTGGGGTTAATATGGAGACTACTTGACTATATGAGGGGTATATAAGGACTATACAATGGTTTTTTAAGGTAATGGGATTAAGGGTCCCTATTAGGGGTCCCTCCTAAAGTCCTTAAATCATCTGAACCGCCGTTGCATAGCTAGGGGTTTAGGGCGTCTAGGGTTGCTATAAGGGATACTCTGTCTGGTGCTTAGTAGGGAATGGGGGAATGGATCCCTATGATAGTCCCTTAAGGTCCCTTATAGTAGTCCCTATAACCCATTCCTCCATTCCCTACTAAGCACCAGACAGTACTGTAAGGGCTTCTAGGAGTTTTGTTTGGTGTTGGGGATCTAGAGCTTCAGGGATTCAGGGGCATTTTGGATCCAGGGTTTGGGGGGGTTAGGGAATAGCCAGAGTGGGGTTTTGGGGCATATCATAGTACATGTTTTTCAGGAACTACAGGGCACTATCATCACTTTTGAGTCCAAATCATTCCGACCCTAACCCCTAAACCCCGAACCCCTAAACCCCCAAACCCTAAACTCCTAAACCCCTAAACCCCTAAACCCCTAAACCCTTGAACCCCTAAACCCCTAAGCCCCCACACCCTAAACCCCTAAAGCCTAAACCCTTAAACCCTAAAGCCTAATTCCCTAAACCCTAAACCGCTTTACCAGCACCGGAGAGTCGAGGAGTTGCGGCTTGGGGCATGCAACAGCAGAGCCTGCGTGTTTGGCACGCAGAACGACTGTAAAGAGTCTAATATACAGGGACCTTACACATAGGCCCCATAGTAGTTCCTTTTTGGGAGTACCACCTTTTGGGGATTACCTTGTAGGGTTCTATATATGAACCGCAAAAAGGAACTACTTTAGGGCCTGTGGGCAATAATTACCTAGGGGTTCCTTCTCACATTTCTGGTATAATGGGCCCCCAAACCCTATTCTAATTATTAAGGCCCTTTTATTAATTAGCTAAAGATATAGAGGGACGTTTAGGTCTGATCTACATTAAGCTAGTTCTTTTTCACAATAAGGGTCAGAGATAGAGTTAGAAAGATCCTCTGTACGATTTGGCATATACTTGCATTTCATAATTGAGGGGTTTGGGGAGTCGCTTGGCAGGTCGAAGAGATATGGGCTTCTCTGTCCTGTCTTGACGGCACTAGCTCCAAGGAAGCACTACGCATGGTTTTGCACATGCCCATACCTCCCTGTAGCTTTTCTGCGTTGCTTTGCCGCACTTTGTCGTTGATATCGGCGGCTTGAGACTTAGGGACCCAAAAAGCACATAAGCATATGCTTTTTATAGGGATATCCCTACCTTATTGGGCTTCATTATAAGGGGATTTATATGGGACATCCGGATCCTAATTTTTGCTTATGTCCTTAAACCCTAAACCCTAAACCCTAAACCCTAAACCCTGAACCTTTTTGGGGCCCTAGAGACTCCTGAAGCCCAGCGATTGAGGGGGATGGAGGTCGAAGTCCCTTGGGCTTGGAGTTCAGCTTCATATCGAGGCCTCAAGAATTACCTATACTATTTTGGGGGCTCCTTATCATAATTATAATTACCTATACTATTTTGGGTGCTCCTTATCATAATTATACTACAAAGGACCCCAAAACCCTAGTCTAATTATTAAGGCCCCTACGTTAGTTTCATTAGCTTTTCCGTGGGTGCACATGCCATGGAGGTGGCAGCTGCACTGTGGAAGGAATGAGGGCTGGGTAACTGCATCAGGCCGAATGGCTCGGGGCACCCTAAACCCCTAAACCCTAAACCCCTAAACCCTACACCCTAACCCTACACCCAAGAACCACTAAGCCTTTTGCAACTGAGGCTTCACCACTGGCATCAGTGCATGTGCCAAGCACGGGGAGTGGCAGGTAGCCCTTCAGCTACTGTCGAAACCGGACTTTATTTTGTTAGGGTTTTGGGCTTGGGGCTTCCTCTAATTCAAGCTTTGTAAGGATTTCTATAAGGCTTCTGCTAGGGCGTTCCTTTGAAACCATTCTCTTTCTTTTGATGTGGACTAAAGGGGTTATTGGAAATGCTGTCTTGACCAAGTATTTTGGGTTCTTGCCCGCGGGGTTAGAAAGATGTATGTCTTGTTCTAGATCAGGGGGGGGCTTTCCTAGGAAAATGATGACCATCAGCGTCCGGCCGAATCGGATCACACTCAATGCTGCCATCAACGCCTGCGCGCAGGGAATCGTCGCTGATCTGATATTGGAGGCTCAACCTTCAATTTCACAAGGTTTAGGGTTTAGGGTTTCCAGGAGCAAGCTTGAAGTTAGCGTAGCAGGAGCGTGTAGTACATACTATATGTTGCGCTAAATACGCTGACTTGCAGACGGTTCCTGCACTCGGGACTACTTGGAGGTTCATGGGTAACCATACGTGCGGTTATACGTCCTTTAACATGGGTTGTAACTCCTAATGAACCTACTTATAACCCTACTTATAACTAACGGTGGGCCTCTAAGTACTGGCTTGCAGCCCAAAACCCCTAAACCCCTAAACCCTAAACCCCTAAACCCCTCAACCCCTAAACCCCCAAAACCCTAAACCCCAAAACCCCAAAACCCCAAA